GGCGTCGCACTAGTAGTTTTCACTCTGGGGAAGTAAGAAATCATGATCAGCTGTAAAATGGTCAACCAGATAAAATGTTGCCCATTTATTGTGAACTCGCAAAGAAGAGAACAACGGTCTGATTGGATGAGTGCATGACTAACAACACTTAGTAGAAGGCTGGCTCTCCACGCTAAAAAATACACAACAGACCTTGTAGATACGACCTACCTGTCCAATACAATGTAAAGCAGATTCTGTTCCATGCCAGTCTGTCGGTATACCTGGCTACCGCGGTCTCAACACGCGACCATAAAAACAAAATGTGTTACATGGAGTTAACATCCTCAGATCCTCTGACGATTCTTGGTCGTTTATTAACTGTTTCCTACATGGGTCCCACTACAGGGATGCCTGTGGGCAACTGCACAAGCAAGGTGTAAAAAGCAACTGGAAACAAAGTGTATCTTCTTGAAAAACACTAACAGATGACAATCACGGGGCCACTAAATCTTGTGGGAGACATCCAGTGCGACCAGGCATAGTCGTCAATTGGGGATAATTTGCAGTTAGCCAGCTGATCACCTCATCCTGGCGGCCACGATAAGCCTGAAACATAAAACACGTACACGAGGGTAACGCGGACCAAATTCACTAGGTAAATAATCATTACGACTATGGAAAGCATTGAGAGCTCTGAAGTCGGGTGGAGTGTTTCATCCTCCCAATAAACAGCACTCTAATACACACTAGACTCTTGTAGGAAATGACTATCGCAAAGCCAAAAACGTCGACCTGGGATGCCTCCTAACAAGCGAGATATTCAGGAACGCGATAATTACTTCGTAAGCAGCATTTACCTCGCTGTATTTTTTACCACTAAAGCTGCCCATATCCTCTGATCGAAGAAAAGTGGATTCGCACACTAGATCCTAGCTTATCCAATAAAAAATTCAGCGCCTCAAGAAAGCAGCGTAAAAATGGTGACACAGTAATTAACTAATCATTATATTCAGCTGTGAAAAGAGCGTACATGTTTTAGTGCTGATAGATGCCAGTTTCGTTCGCCGATGATCTCGAAAAATGCTTGAGAAAGAGAGCTGTGACTAGGGTGCGAAATTACTGGCTGGGAGGTCCGTGATTCGACGAGGACAGTTTGCGTCTCGATTACTCCTATCTAAGTTTGGGTTATCCGGAAGTATCTGATCCCCGTGCTTCTTCTGAGACGAATGACAGTTACGCACTGACAGCCTATTTTTTGTCATTGGGGAGCTATGCGTTGGAGGCGCCATCTAGAATAGCTGGTGCGTTTGAGGTCCGAAAACAATTCGGTCATTTCAGTTTGATAAATCACTTCCTCTTCCGCCTACTGTGATTGAATGTGGTGAACTCAGTCAACATGGCTCAGTGTTTATAGCGTGGAATTACTCACCGGAAGGTCTGTGGTCTAAACCCGACCTCTGCATTTCGACTTCCTCTGTCCAGACCTGGGCAACCTGGCAGTATCCTAGCCCTCGTGCTTCCTTCGGCTGGCATGGCAGCTAAGCGCCGAACCTTTGTACCTTTTATTCAGCCAAGGATTTGCCGTAGATCCGTACACGCCCATACGGATTGGTGCCGTGGTTGCAAAGAAAGCCTTCGGTGGACAGACACAGGTATTGTTTCAATAGACCAGACAGTGGTTCTAGGCTCAGGAAAACTCATCCGCAATGACTGCTGAAAACAGAGCGAAATTCTCGGCGTTCAGAACAGGATTGGGCAGACGAGTTGGGTCTGGTTGATACTACAATGGGTTCTCGTGTTCGCCAAATTCATCCACTCTATCTTTCATTCATACGGTGTGAGGTGGGGCTATCCAGGTCATCATCAATGTTCACATTAGTTCACAACCAGATCCGCCGCTGACTTAAACGACGGAGGCAACAGCACCGTAAAGAAACCAGCAGATAATCGACGTGTTCCCCGTACAAGGACCTCGCTTGGTTTACCACGTGCGTCAAAACTCGCTAGGAGTCTGACTAATAATGATTGGGTAGATAATTGCTACCGAATTTTCAGTCCTCATACAAGCTGCAATAACAAGCTAACGGCTTGTTAAAGGGGCAATCACCTGACTGTTCACTGGTACTTAGATTCCATAAGAAGTTCGACGCATCTGCCACACTATGGAAAAACTATTTATCATACTAAAGCAACGCACAATACGAACGGGTCTTTTCCCCAACTTACATATTGTTCTACGAGATACCTACAAGCGGTATTGTCTCAAAATGTCCTATCGTCATCATCATTATCCCCGGATGTCAAAACTGCCTACATGTTGCACAAATATTGTAGCTAGCACAATTTCGTTCGCCGACTCTGGAGCAATAGGGGATGGGTGGCTACGCAGTGGAGGCAGTAACCCATCTAATTAAAGCGTGAACATAGGAGTATCAGTGAAATGTTCATTGGAAAGATCGGAAAGAAAAGCCATACACTGAAGGCAACACCTTGAAATCGTGCGAGGTATTGAGCAGGCAACTGTATTAACTAATCCGCACATGCATGCGCATGATTCGAACGTTTTAGTCAACGTCTCTAATCACTGACGTCCCCCATCGAGGGAGATGCTAATGATCATTATCATTATCATCGACAGTGTTCAGTCCCCCATCAAAAGGTCCCCATCGAGGGAGATGCTAATAATCATTATCATTATCATCGACAGTGTTCAGTACCAATCCTTCGCTCCCGTACAACCATGATTTATTTGAAAGCCTTGTGAAGAAAACAATAAAGGTGGATGGGGAAGGGATTTGTTAGTATAATCATTTAGAGATGTCTGCACCTCCAGAAACTCGTTCAGTTAATCTAGACAGAAACTGAAAACAAGAAGGCCACTGACGTCGATTAGAAGCCTATCTTGCAGCGCCTCCAACCAGGCGCAATGAGGATGACACGGTCCTCATCCTGGAAGGTGAGCAACATCGACAGGTTTCAAGCATTTTGTAATCTCTTTTATACCCAGGTCAAGGGTCGGCCACTTCTCTGCTTCCACCATTGACTTGGGCAAGGAAAACAGCGCTCTCTTCGGCAAACTATGGTTCAGTATACGTAATACGTTTTCAGTGACCATTGCAGCTGATTTTTCGGTATTGGCTTTCAAAAATTGCCCGATCTCCGGCTCGTCTCTCCTTACCGTGGTTGTGCGAAGAGGGTTCTCCGGGAAATTCAGTGGACTAGTATATGGAGCACGTGACCAAGCCAGCGCAAACTATGAAGTTTGGTCAGTTCATCAATAGTGGGCGGGGCACTTTCTTCGAAAACCATTCGACGGACTTCAGCCTTACCTATTTTGACGTCCCCACCAGAGTCGTGCAATACTCCAAAGATAACGGCGGTCAAACACTGAATATTTTGACATTCTCAGCGAGCATATTTCTGATTCTTATGACAATATGAAGGCATCGCAATATTGCAGGATGATGTCACATGATGCGGGTTGCCCAAAACTGCTCTGGCATGCTCAATACCGATAAAAATATCTCGCTTGGATAGACGACCGGGACCAACACAACTTCCCAGGTAGGCCAATTTATCTGCTGCCTCAATCGTCAAGCAGGAAGTTCGGGTTCGACGTCACTCAGTCATGCTCAAACACTTCGTAGGTGTGAAGCGCAAGCGAAACCACGGAGCAGAATTTTTTTGATGTCATCTGCAATACAATGGTTTCAGACCCAAAAGGAGCTGTCGTCCGCGTACTCGTGCATGTGAATAGAGCATGCGTGTGAATCCATAGGCAGTGAGCTTTCTGGGAGTGAGTTTTCTGTGGTTACATCAACGATGAAGTTTAAGATGTAAGTTGAAAACGAACAACCTTGCAAGGCAACACTGGATGTAGTGAGCTCAGACCTTTACGAATTCATGGGAGCCGGCGTAATGCGTTTCCAGGTCTACATGAAGGTCTACAGTGGCAAAGACAGCTTCCAATGTCTACCATACCTCTCGGTCTTTCCTTAGGGTTTTCACCATTTGGGATTCACGTGCTCCGTCATGCTGCCTGCCGGTATGGATTTCCAAACAGGGCTAGTGATTTCGGCAGTATATAGCGCTCACTTGGTCGTATCGGAGAAATCGGACAGAAAGCACCGGATGCCACTACCATAGGTCCTTTCGCATTTCGGACGCTTCCTCCACGTGCTCGTTACCAGTACAATGTTGGTTTACTGAAGAGAGTAGCTGAGCTAGCTCAGAACGATACTGATAAGCCAAGTTATTTCTCCTGAGATGGTGATTCTCGCCGACTTGCGAGGGACTGAATGAAAGCGAATTGTCAGACGTGATGAGAATCAGGTTGTAAACCCCAGAAGAAGCGACAGACTTGAATTGTGTATCCCCACCATCTACTGATAGCCACGTGATCCAACTGGGGCCACGGTCGATTTGCAATTGGTGGCCCCATATTACAAGGTGCGAGCGTTTATGTCAAAAGTTCGTTTTGACCGGAAGCAGTTTATGGTCAGCATACAAATGGAGGCGCCCTCCGTTGTCTGTGCGGCTAGCATTGATTACGAATCGACCTCTCATATGTGATTCCGAAGAGCTCGGGTGACCGACCTTGGTATTCACGTGGCCCGCAAGAATGGCGAATGAGCTCGGGTAAATGTAGACATAAAGTACACTTTTCAGCTTCAAAACTGTGGTCTGTTGGGGTGTAAGCCGACACTACAAAAAAGCAGCGGATTTTACGTTGAGTAGCGTTAGGCTTGACCACTGTCAAATATGTCTTCTATCAATTATGGAAGGATATTATCCGTAGACCTAAAAGAAGCTACGGTCAAATTGACTACACCCGCGTCACTAGAATTCATAGCACAGCTGAAGCGACTAGGCCTGTTGAGGTAAGTAATAATACCCACACCAAGGAATCATTTCAGACAACCTTTGCCTAATGCGAACCAACCGGGTGCATCCAATCTGTTCACCTCTAGGCAACAGTAAAAACGATCGACAAGATGGGAAACATGAGACAAACTAACCGAATGTAGGCAAGAACGTCCCTCGTTGTCTGTAAACGTGGCCAACTTCTCACCACCATGTTTTAGCAGTTCTTCAAGTACACCGAGGCAACCACAAAAGGCTGCTCGGTGGGCCGCTGTGGCCCCGTCGGACCGCGTGCGGGCAAAAAGATCCGCTCCGGATTGTAGCAAAATTTGACATGTCCTCAGGCGGTTATTACGGGCTGCGTAGTGCTACTAAGGTGAGAGGGTTCGGCATAGGTGGAAGACAACTTCACTTACCAAAGCAGTGTAGCCGTATTTGTCGGTGTCATTAATTCGCTGGGGATATCGCTTGATCAAAAATGCCACACGAGTATCATCGCCCATCAAGGCGGCTGACCACAAGCCTCTTTCGAAGTCTACCTCATCTAGTGTTTGATTGAGTGAGGGGCAAGTACTTCCGTGGGAACAAGATAGGTGATCCCCTGCATTACACATTACAGTACGAGGAGATCGGAAATGTGCTGCAAATACAGGTAAGATAGTTGTGACAATCAAAATCCGAGCAGAAGAAAAAGTGAAACACTAATCATGTCAACTCATGAAGACTAAGTCGTCAGACAGGCTGGGGAACTCTGAACTTGTAACGGAACCTGAAAATCGAAACAGAGGAAGATGGATAGTTGTAGCACGAAGGATCCAATGAAGAAGGCTGGTCATATGAAAATACGAGAGTAGACGGATTGAGACAGGTCTATTCAGAGGAAGTCATTAGTCTGACGTTCATTGGCTGGTGATTTTGGTAACATTTAAAGAACGGTGGGGCTTGGACTGCAAGGCTTCAGTTCATCTACGAAAAGGAGCGGTCCGAAAATGAAGCCTTCTGGAGCCACGGTAGACCAGCTTATCCAACTTTCATTCCTAATGTTCAACTGGGAAAACCTAATCTAGTGAGAGGCTTTACATGAACCGCGTGAACCCCTAGCTCAGGACGCGGTGACCACTGTGGAATCCAGTCGGCTTTCAGAAAGCCGAAAATCACACATGAGGCACCACTCATTGCAAGACTGCGTAGGATCCAAACATGTCCCCCTGTAGATGAGATGTAGTAAAGGTTTGGGGGATTTGTAGAATTTAGATTCACATTGCTCTCGTCTGAACAGTCCTCCTTCTGTCCTGATGCAATTATTCTGGTGAGTTTACACTAAAGGAGAGAAACACAAGGCCCCAGTTTCACTTTTATTGAGGCTCATCAGTAGTCAGAGTTTAAAATCCGGACACCTGGTAAGCGAGGCAAGCATGTGGACACAACTCCACCAGCGCACGATGGGCGCACATGTGTGAACGGGCGAAGGTGCTTAGATATGGGTGAGGTGGATGGTAAACTTGTGACTTGTGGATTCGTATGGGGAATAATTTCCGGGATGTGGCGCAGTTTGTTCAGTCGAAACCGACTAACCAGGTCACCAATCTCAAAATGGGAATGATCTGAGCACCCCCTTTCGCCTCCCCGAACCTTGTTGGTATCGTTCCGCGTACATACGGATAACGGCTGGGTCCGTGGGTCGACTGTAACACATAAGAATGAAAGACATTCTGGGGATTTGAAAGCATAGCGGAGCCACCTTTTTGTCGGGGTTACAGGCACTTGGCAATCGACCATCAGAACTTAGCACCATGGGTTGTTCGGCGATGGACCTATAAACCGAACCGTCGATGACTCATCATCTTGAATTATCGTTTCTGAGACACAGCACACATCAATGCCAAGCGAGTCCAGTGTGAGTGCAAGGGCAGCTTGTTGTCCTGCTTGCTTCAGAGTGCAAACATTGAACGCGGCCAGATAGACTGGGTGTCGAGGCTTGAGGACTGATTTGGAGATTCCTGAAGATGTCGGCACCATGTGACGAGCAGATGCTGCACGCAAAACCGATGCATGACGAACGGAGTCATCAGTCCTAAGTGCTGGGCCTACAAGGAGAGAGTTATTAATGGGGTGGGGAGAGGGGGAAGAAAAAGTATGTGAAGGAGAAAGAAGGGAGGCGTCAGCAGTAGCCTGTTTTCGCTTACCCGCCCTGCTGTATGCAGCAAGTAAGGCGACCCGGCTGATGGCACCACGCGACGGCCGATGTGGCATGAGAATATTGTTAGTTGTGTAGGTCATGGTTGTACGAGGGCTGGGATACTGCCAGGGCGCCCACACCTAGACAGGAGGACGATTAGGGTCCTCAACCAAAGCCTTTGGCTCAAAAGCCTAACCGCAAGGCAGCGGTGTTTGGCGGGAAATGTAAATGCATTACATTACATTACATTACATTACAAATATACATGTAGGGCGATATTTCAAATATCGTAGCCTCTGAAACATGAGGCGGCCTGGTGCAGCACATTCAGTTGCCTGAGAACATCATAAACGAGAGATTCAGCTGGGTTCCAGGTGAGTCTCTCGAAAGAACCAAATTAGTTTGCAGATGAGTATATATTCGCTAATTTCGTGAAATTTGGTTTCAAGTAGGACATAAGGTTGACGGAAACCCGGGGACTGCGCCTACCTGATGAGCCCCAAGAAGGGCGAAACCGGTCGTGGGCTGTCGATGGATTTTCAGCAACCTTATGAACAGTACATTACAAATACAGATGCATTGCCATTTCTACGGAACAAGTCGCCACATGTTCCAACCCCCAACCTGGAGGGCCAGGAGACTGTGTTCGTCAGACCTCTAACCATTGACCAACCTGGTATGAGAGACTCTGTGAGTGTCGCGGGACACTCTCCAGTATAGCTCAGTGGATCGCTGAGGTGCGCAAACCGTCACACCACGGTAAGTTCCAGTCTCTTCGTGACGGCGATGACTTCTAGTGCGCAAAGCCCACTAATGGTACTCCAAATTCTCTTTAGTAGCCGCCTCTTCGCTTATGTTCCGAACCTGGAAAGCGACTTCTTTTTAAAATCTATTGTTACATTCCTTTCCGTTAAATTTTGCTTACAGTGAATAAATATATATTCTATAGTCAAGATAAATGTACACTTTGAAGACCTTTGCCTTGACCGTCTGCGGCAATGGTCTCGATTGGCGCCGCACTCGCAGCAACGTCAAAGACACCCACGCAAGGCCGACCAGATCCACTTGGCTACCTGAGCCCAGTTGGTACATGAGCTGAATGAACATATACGGAGGCATTTGCCAAATAGTGTTTTGGAGCAGTGAGGGATTTTTCTGCTAACCGCTAATGCGAGTGGTTCTCTATCTTCTATGCTCTTTCCGCCTGAGTTCTTATGTCCTTCTTGTCAAGGGGCCTCTTTAACTATTACACAACACCCACATACTCTACCAGTGACTGGGCCTCGCGGTAAGTCACCCCTAGTCTTATTCTATCGCAAACTAGCAAAGAAGTTAAACATATCACTGAAAACATCACTGGAAAACCTTTCCAGAAAGTAAATAACAGCTGGGAGTGAAGGACAGACAAAAGACATGAAAGAACAAGCGAAGAGTAGGCACCTCGGTATGAGTCAAACCAAAGCAATACTGGAAATCCCTTTTCAGGACCAGAACCGCGTTGTCTTTCGGAACTGGTACTTGTCCTTTTGGTATCGAAAATCCTTCAAATTAGAGGATGTTCGGGTTGTCTGCGTCAACAAAACAATTTCGTTTCTTGAAAGCCCCAATGAGAGCTCTTTGATTGTTCTATTCTGCAATAATAGATTCAGAAGATTCAATGAGCCTATGGTTCATAGTGGATAAATCGAACTGAAATGAATAGGTTCAACTCCTACTTTGTTAAGTTGTAAGTGAAAATCCATGAACCGACTTTGGATTCGTTACACTGCCTAGACGATCTTTTTCAGATCCGGCTCCGGAATTCTAATAATTACTGTGGATGGGGTCCAACGTTGGTCGTATACAAGGGGAAGTAACCAGCTAAAAACATGATAAAAACCAGGTATGCAGGGCCCAAAGTCATTTCGTATATACTTAAGCTTTTACCAGATTAGCTGGGGGTAGCTATGCACTACTTCGTTTCCCTATGTAGCCTTCAGGTTCTACGGGAGAATCGGAAAAACTGAAAACCAGTGGGAAGGATTACTTGACACGTGATCCAAATATTGACCAGTTAATCGTTGTGGCAGATAAATGTACTTACCGAGGCTGGCTAGAGACGAGATCACCCCTCAAATCGGGGAGGCCAAGTCAGCTTTCCCAAAAATCTTGCCGACATTCCGGCATCTACTTCCTCCGAGAGACGTCAACTTGTTTGTCAAAGTCAGAGTATACACTGAGGCGGTGCGGTCCATACTGCTTCATGGACCAGAACCGTTGCTTCTATCCCCATATGATGTATGGAATCTCTCGCCGTTTGACGATAGAAACATTAGTCGGGTCTAGTTGGAACATCATATCATCCTTTCTGGAATACGCTAAATGATTTCAGGAGGGAGCTCTCCCGCAACCGACGAGCTTGCTGGATATGGACTTAGTGTTAGGAGGGTCAGATAGCTGAAAATAATCCCAGAATGTCCGGAGCATACTGAGACCGAAAAGCTTCACCAAAATCTCAATAGGAAAGCCGGCAAGCATCCGGGCCAGCCAATCACTTGATAAATTTAGCAAGAGCTGATGAATGCTCATGCACGCCACAGAAGCACGGCCGAATATGACAAGCGTCCAGAGGCACGGTCGATATTGATCGGTGCTCACTAACCGCCACTCAGACGGCTTGGATCAATTGCCACAAGTTCCCTTTAAATAGCGCCAGTCCGTAACTTTTACACTCGTCTCTTGTTCTTCCTCGTTGAGCTGCCATGCCACCAGAAGGAAGCGCGAAGGATAGGACACTGCCAGGTTGCCTACACAGAGGAAGCCGAGAGGCAGAGTTTGGGTTCGAACCATAGACTTTCCGGTCAGTAAATTCGTGCTCTAACCATTGAGCTATCTCAATTGTTGCAATAAAGCTGTTACCATAACCTCGTAGACCATCTCTCGTTGGTTAACCAATAAGACAACTTAGTCTCATGCAAATAGGACCTGCATGATTACTACGTCATTTGTAACAGTTATACACAGTCGCTGGATGACCCTTTGGGTATCACTGGTCTGTCAACAACACGTGTTGTCGAGCACCAAGCGCGTGCACACAGAAGCCGCGTAAGTCACCGGAGATTGCACAATAAAACCGGTACATCTTCGGCGAATGCAGGGTGTAACCATATCAAACACTTTGAAACAAATACAGTCCACATAAACCAACTGAGCAAAGTTATCACCTGGTGACAATTTTATTCAGTGAGTTCCTCATAGGTCACAGGAATAAAAAAACCGAAAGGTTGTGGTAATAGTAATATTCGAGTCGAAAATCTCGAACACTCGCTTGACGATTAACGCCGTTTCAATTTACTACGAGGCGTTCTGCTCCGATCCGATGCA